AATATACTACTTAATCCTATGTACATATGCCAGAGGGAACGCGGTGGCTCAGGGGCTAAGATGCTGAGCTTGTCGATCAGAAAGGTCGGCAGTTCGGTGGTTCGAATCCCTAGCACTGCATAACGGAGTGAGCTCCCGTTACTGGTCCCAGCTTCTGCCAACCTAGCAGTTCGAAAGCACGTAAAAAATGAACATTGTGTAGGGTGGCTCAGTGGCTAAGACGCTGAACTTGTCGATCAGAAAGGGCGTCAGTTCGGCGATTCAAATTCCTAGCGCCGTGTAATGGAGCGAGCTCCTGCGACTTGTCTCAACTTCTGCCAACCTAGCAGTTTGAAAGCATGTAAAAATGCAAGTAGAAAAATAGGAACCACCTTTGGTGGGAAGGTAACAGCTGTTCCGTGCGCCTTCAGTGTTGAGTCATGCCGGCCACATGACCACGGAGACGTCTTCGGACAGTGCTGGCTCTTTGGCTAAGAAACGGATGAGCACCGCCCCCTAGAGTCAGGAACAACTAGCACTTATGTGCAAGGGGAACCTTTACCTTACCTTTATATATGCCATATGTGTACATACATATTACATAGTATAGAGTGTGTACAGGCACACAAAAAGATACATTATCTATTATATATCCTGTATGTGTATGTACCCACACACACATACAGAGAGCTCTTCTTAAACTAGACACGCTCAGCATGGATATATTTTTGGAGAAAAAAAACTCGTTTGGAGAAAATATGAAACGTACCACACTTGGTGCCAGGAACACAGTTACATTCTGACAATCGGATAAGTTCACCTAAAAAAAAAGAGGGGCAAAACATGAATTGGGGGGGGGGGAAGGTTACTTTTTGTGCAATGTTTAAAAAGCAGTTTCTATTAAAAAGATCTGGAGCACAAAGTGGGGGGGGGGAATCTTTCTCGGTCCAACTCCCTGGGTGGGTTTGCACATTTCACACACAAGCCATAAATAATATTGGCTTGGTTTTGGCTCGGAGGGTTGTAGGAACCAAGAGATTTCGATCTGCAAAGAACCCAGCCAAGTGTCATTCCTTCAAGAAGCAGAAGCCAAGTAAACCACAATAACATAGCACAATGGCCAGTTTCGTTACAGCAAAGAGTGATCAGGATATATCGTGTTTCCCCGAAAATAAGGCCGGATCTTATATTCATTTTTGCTCCAAAAGATGCACTAGAGGTTATTTTCTGGTTAGGTATTATTTTGGGGGAAATATGGTACTAAATGCATCCATCTGGCTGACAATCGTAACTGGGATTTGTTTTGGAGGCAAGGCTTATATTACGAGCATCCTGAAAAAATCATGCTAGGACTTGAATTTTCCAGTGTAGTCTTATTTTTAGGAAAACAGGGCACTTTATAACAGGGGTGTCAAACTCAAGGCCCGGGGCCCAGATCCAGCCCGTGGGGGTGCTCAGATCTGGCTTGCTGGCAACTTCAGCTATAATTCAAGTGAGGCTCAGATCTGAACTGCAATACAGCATTGCCAAAATGGCGCTCCTAATAAATGACTGGTTTTCTTTTGAAACTTGGCTCGAGGCTCATGAATCAATTAGGGCCACTTTAGGAAACCTGACACTTGCGGGGCTGCCCTGGAAACAGCGAAGGAGTGGCCCACAATGTCTCTGCCAGCGAAAATGGGGGCAGCCCTCCCAAGCCCCATTTTGGCTGGTAGATGGTTGCAGGAGGTCGTTCCAGCTGAAAACGGAGCTCAGGAGCCCATTTTCACCGACAGAGTGCTCGGGCCACCACAGGCGCCCCCGACTTCGAGCTGGCCATGCCCAACCTGGTCACCCCCACCCCATCCACATCAGAGTCAAACATAACCCTGATGCGGCCATCAAGTTTGACACTCCCCGGTGATCACGCAATAAAAAATCAGACACTTAGCAAAGGGTTCAAACTTATGACCATTGCTATGTCTCAACTTCATTGGATCCCCTTTGGCGACCTTCCAACAATCAAAATCAATGGGAAAGGCAGATTCATTTAACAACCATGTTACTAATGGAACAACGGCGGCAATTCACTTAACAATTTTAGCAGAAAAAGGTTGTAAAACGGGGCAAAGCTCACTTAAGAAATGTTTCACTTAGCAACAGAAATTTTAGGCTCAATTGGGGTCGTAAGACGAGGATTTCCCATACTTTCAAGTGGGTTTCGATATCCTGGCATTATGCTCAGAACTTGCCTATGGAAACTCTCAGTCACCCAGGTCATGGTTCTCCCAAAGGTGCTTTTTTCAAGAGGCAACTTCACTTTCTGGTTTTTCTTAAAGACGTTTCACTTCTCATCCAAGAAGCTTCGTAAGCTCTGACAGGAGGGTGGGGAATGGAAGGATTTATATTCCTTGATGACAGCTGGTCATTTGCATTCTTTTAGAGGGATGCGTTGGCTCAGTGGCTAAGATACTGAGCTTGTTGATCATAAAGCGATTCAAATCCCTAGCACAACTGAGTGAGCTCCTGTTATTTGTCCCAGCCAACCTAGCAGTTCGAAAGCACATAAAAAATGCAAGTAGAAAAATAGAGACCACCTTTGGTGGGAAGGTGTTGTGGCCCAGCAGGAGCTGTTGGAGCTGCCGACAGACTCCGATAGCGAGGGACACTATGACTCGGCTCTGAACAATATGGAGGACCCTGGGCAGGGTTCAGACTCTGAGCAGGGACCAGAGAGGCTGGTTGGTCACCAGGAGGCGCCTGAGGCATGGAGCAGCGGTGAAAGCCAAAGGGAGTTTGTCCCTAATGCCAGGCCCTGGAGCAGTGGGGAGGAGCAAAGGGAGTTGGTCCCGGACGCCAGGCAGAGAAGGGCGGAGAAGCACAGGCAGCAATTATGGAGACATAGGAGATAATCAGGCCTAGGTGGTTGTGATTTGGCTCCTCCCAAGAGAGTATATAAAAAGAGACTTTGGGAGGAGTCCTTTTGCAGGACACAACCATTCGTAGTAAGCTGGAGAAGCTCTTGTGTGTATCTCTTATCTGTGGGAGTCTGGGTTGCTGCCAAAGTCTTGTCTGTGAGTAATTACTGTGAATAAAGCGTGGGTAACAGTAACCTTGTGTCGGTGTGATTTCATTGATTTGATTTGATTTGATTTGATTTGATTT